TGGCCTTTTCTGTGTTGGGAGGGTTTTTTTATTGCTGATTCAATCTCCTCCTTTGTTATTTGTCTGTTAGATTTTCTATTTCTTCACGATTCAGTCTTGGTGAGTTGTATGTTTCTAGGAATTTATCCATTTCTTCTAGGAATTTACCCATTCCACTTGTTGTAGTATAATTGTATATAATTACCTCTTATAATCCTTTTTATTTCTGTGGTATTGGTTGTAATGTCTCCTTTCATTTCTGATTTTATATATTTGAGACTTTTCTCTTTTTTTTTAGTCCAGCTAAAGTATTGTCAATTTTGTTGATGTCTTAAAATGCCAGCTCAATTTTGTTTATTTTTCTATTGCTTTTCTATTTATTTCATTTATTTATGCTTTAATTTTATTATTTCCTTCCTTGTGTTAACTTTGGGCTTAGTTTATTTTTTTGAGATATAAAGTTAGCTTGTTTATTTGAGACTTTTTTGTTTTTCCTTATAGGTGTTTACTTCTATATACTTTACTCTTAGTTCTGTTTTGCTGCATCCCATAAGTTTCAGTATGTTGTGTGTTTATTTTTGTCTCAAAATATTTTTTAGTTTTTTTTTTTTTTTTAGACGTCTTCTTGGACCCATTTCTTGTTCAAGAGGATGTTGTTTAGTTTCCATATATTTGAGAATTTTTCTGCTTTCTTACTGTTACTGACTTCTAGTTTCATTCCACTGTGGTCAGAAAAAGAAAAGTTGGTGTGATTTCAATCTTTTTATATTTGTTAAGAAAATTATTTTGTGACCTAACATGTGATTTGTCTTGAAGAATGTGCTGTGTGTGTTTGGGAAGAATTTGTATCTTGTGCAGTTGGATGGAATGTTCTGTATATGTCTGATAGACCCATTTGGTCTACAGTGTTGTTCATGTCCCATCTTCCCTTGTTGATCTGTCTGGATGTTCTGTCCATTTTTTAAAGTGGAGCAATGAAATCTATTATTTGTGTTCCTATTTTCCCCTGCAGTTCTGTTTGCTTTATATATTTGGGCATATATATACTGCTCTGGTGTTGGGTATTTTCCCTGTGGTTACTCTGGGGCTTACAGAAAACATCTTATAGTTACAACAGTCTATTTTAAGCTGATAACGGCTCCAATCCCATACAAAAGTTCTACTTTTTTATCTCCCACACACTCTATGTTCTTGATGTCACAGACTAAATCTTTTTATATTGTGTATCCATTAACATATCTTTACAGTTATATTTATACTTTTGTCTTTGAACTTCTGTACCAGAACTAAAAGTGATTTGTGCTCCATTATTACAGTATTCTGTGTTTTTCTATATATTTACCTTTATCAGTGAGCTTTATACTTTCATACACTTTTGTGTCACTTTCTAGTGTCCTTTCCTTTCAACTTGAAGGACTCCTGTTAGCATTTCTTACAAGGCAGGTCTAATGGATAAACTCCCTCAGCTTTTGTGTATCTGGAAAAGTTTCCCTTGGTACGGTATTTTTGGCTGGCTGGCTTTTTTTTTTCTTTCAGCATTTTGAATATCTCATTCTTCCCCCCTTGGCTTGCAATATTTTTGCTGAGAAATCTGCTTATAGTGTTATGGGCTCCTTAATAATCCCATTGTTCTAAATTAATTTGTTTATAAAAGACCTGAATTCTGAAGGAGAGAAAAGAAAGCATTGAGTTTTATAAAACTTCAAAGGTCTTAATTCAGTGAGTAATAGGGCACTTACTCCGGAGTGTAGAAACCCCAAGAGCAGTGGAGTCAAGAGCTCATAGTATCTCAAGTAAATCAATAAATGCACATATATGTTACTTCATTAACGAGACAACAGTCCATGCTTTATGTAAAAAAGCTTTCACACTTATATATCTGTCTTTTCCTAATGAAATAACACCTTTTTTGGTTTCCATTGACCTAAAGATTTAATTTGGGTCGTAATGGCTTCAAGAACTGTATTAAGCCTAAAATTATTTACTGTAAAAGTTTCCCGCTTTTTTTCATTTCTGAACTTGCCAGAGAAAATAGACACCCTTACCTACTTCTTTAGTTCTCAGGCTCATAAAGGAACTGTGTACCCTTTAGCATAGAGTACTTTATTTCTTTCCTGACAACATAATTAAAACAGTTGTTTAAAAGCCACTCAACTAAATAAATTATTTTCTACAATGCTACAAAATGTGCTGCTTGCCCTTCCCAGAACTCAGAATCTGTCAGTGTCTGGGTAGAACTCTTCCCAGAACGGGCCATTCATTGAGACTCGCACGGACAGTCCGAGATAACCTTTTGTTTTTAATTAAAATGGGGAGTAAGAAGGCAATTCAAAAATTTGTCTCCCTTCATTTGCTCAAGGTGAGGATGATGAAACTTCTGTTCTAATAGAGCCTCAGCAATTGTAAAAAAGTCGTAAATCCTGGCTGTTGTGAGCCCATAGCCATTACACGCATATCTTTAAGTGCTGCTGTGGTTTAACATGTCAGGCTCATTAATGAATGAATTGTTAACTGTCACATTTTTGTTGGTAGGGTTAAGATGTTTTTTCCTCTTTGAAATTGAATTAAAGTGTATACCTTCTAAGCTGAGAAGAAATAGGCTTTCTAAGATTACAGCAGATAGAGAAAATTAAATTCTAGGCAACAAAATTGAAATGCACTATATGGAAAATAAAATTGTGTGCTCAGATAGTTTCTTGCTCATAGTAGGCATTCACTGATAATAGTGAATTGAATTTTTAAAATAAAAAATAGCTTTATTAAGATATAATTCACATGCCATGTAATTCAATCAAAGTATACAATTCAGGAACTGTTAGTATATTTACAGAGTTATGCAAACATGATTACAAATAATTGGAGAACATTTTTATCGCCTCCCAAAGAAACCTTGTGCCCATCAGCAATCACTTCCCATTTTTTCCCTACAGCTCCCCAATCCCAAGCAATTACTTTCTGATAGATTTGCCTATTTTGGAAATTCTGTATAAATGGATTCATACAATATGTGGTCTTTTGTGACTGGCTTATTTCACTTCACATAATGTTTTCAAGTTTCATCCATATTGGTTCCTTTTCTCTTTTATGACCAAATAACATTACACTGTTCGTCTAGATTACATTCAGTTTATCTGTTCTCCAGTTGATGGATATTTGGGTTGTTTCCACTGTTTGGCTATTGTGAATTATGCTGCTATAACATTTATGTACAAGTTTTGTGTGGATACATGTTTTTATTTCTTTTTGGTATATACCTAGGAGTAGAATTGCTAGATCATATGGTAATTCTCTTTAACCATTTGAGAAACTCCCAGACTGTTTTCCAAAGGGTTCACACCATTTTACATTTCCACTAGCAGTTGTCTGAGGGTCTCCATTTCTCCGCATGCTTGCCAACACTTGCTATTGTCTTATTTATTATAGGCATCTTATTGGGTGTGAAGCTGTATTTCATTCATTTTGGTTTTTATTTATGTCATGCATGGCTAATGAGAGTTGAGTATCTTTTCCTGTCTTTATTGGCCACTTATTTATCTTTTTTGGAGAACTATCTATTCGGATTATTTGCTATTTTAAAATTGGGTTATTTGTCCTTTTATTATTGAATTGCAAAAATTCTTTAAATATTCTAGATACAAGCCCTTTATTGGATATATGATTTGCAAATATTGTCTCCTATTTTGTGGGTTGTCTTATTTTTCTTTATAGTATCTTTTGACAGATATTTTTAATTTAATGACATCTCTGTTTTTCCTTTGTTGCTTGTGCTTTGGTGTCACATCTAAAAAGGCTTTGTCTAACCCAATGTCACAGAAATTTACTCCTGTAGTAATTATATGTGAATTTTCAACTGTGGGAAGTCAGTCTGTTCTTCAACTTTATTTTTCTTGAGTCATACTTAGCTCTTACATTTTGCTCTAAAATCTATTTTGAATTCATTTTCTAGTGTGGTGTGAGGAATGGGTCCAAATTTATTCTTTTGCATGTGAATATCTAGTTGTTGAAATCCAGTACCAGTTTTCAAAGAGACTCTTCTTTCCCCATTGTACTTTCTTGGCATATCTATCAAAAATCAATTGAACATAAATGTCAGGATTTATTTCTGGACTCTTTGAGTTCTTTTTCATTGAAATATATTTCTGTTCTTATGCCAGTATCACACTGTTGTGATTACTTTGACTTTAGAGTAAAATTTGGAATTGGGAAATTTGAGTTCTCAAACTTGGTTCTTCTTTTTCAAGATTATTTTGTTTAGTTGGGGTCTCTTGCTTTTTCATATGAATTTTAGGATTACTTCCACAATTTTGCCAAAGAAGCCAGTTGGGATTTTGGTAGGTATTGCATTGAGTCTCTAGATCTACTTGGGAAGTATTACTATTTTAACATCAATAAGTCTTCTGATCCATGAATGACTTGCTCTTCTTGTTTTATTGTATTATGTATAGGGATTGAAATGGGGACCTTGCTTATTAACCCCCTCTCCTTACAGTACAACTGATTTTAATTATTTCATATTGGCATAACGTAATAGAATATTTCAGTATGCAGAGTTCTTTTATTATTTACATATCCTAAGTGATAGCTGCTTATTAGAACTATAAATTTCTTTGGGGCAGTATATATCTTAACTAATTTTGTTTTGCTGAGAGTTAGTATTATAGTTGTTTAAGAAAAAAACATTTTTTGATTCGTGTTTGGCAGCTAGTTATAAAAGAGATAGAATATTAGTGGTACTATAAAATTACCATCAACAGCAAATTGCTAAACCCATTTTTTAGTCTTCTAACTCATATATATGGGGTGTCCCAAAAAATGTATACACACTTTGAATAATTATTAATTCCAATGGATTAAATCTGAAAGGAAAGAAACATCAATTGAGCTGTCAGAAAAGTGTGTATACATTTATTTGGGACACCTTATATTTATATTACTCTTTTGAATAAAAATGAAATAATGATTGCATTATAGATTGATTTCTTTCACAAAGCATAGTTAATTCTTCTTTAAATTCACTTTAGGTACCAAATTTGATTCCAGTTTTGATGTTCAAATTGGGAAGACCACTGGAACCTGTATTATACATTAATATCTTATATACTTTACCTACACTTGGTGTTCACAAGGTTTGTATATTATTCGATTTAATTGATGGAAAAAAGAAAGTGAGGTACAAATAATACATTGAATTTTGGTTGGTATATGAAATTTTGAGCCTTTAACTTTGCTGTGATCACTACATCCCTTGTTGGGCCAAAAGTATATTAAAATATCTTTTAAAAGAAGTAATTCTTTTAAATTAATTAATATCCAAGTTTTCCCATTGGCTATTACTTGAAATAAAGTCTTATGTACCCATGATTGCTGGCTAACCCTTCTCAAAGTTATCCCCAACCTTTGAGAAGATGGGTAAAGCTCCCATTTAGGCCTTTATTTGATAATGAAGGGTTTTTTAATTCTTTGGGTAACCTTGGGATTACATACAGCTACATATATGAAGCAAATTTTTAAAATATTTCCTAGGTGTGCATAGGACAAATTCTACGAGTAATCCAACTTCTTGGAACCACTCCACAACTAAGAGCTGTCACTTTGCGCTTGTTAACTTCTTTGTGGGAAAAGCAGGTAAGTTCAGATATACACGTGTGAGTATTTAACATGTTTCTTTCTGTAAAGAGAACTAATTTTGCCCTGCCAGCGTTGCTCAGTGGTTGAGTGTCAACCTATGAACCCGCAGGTCAAGGTTTCATTCCCGGTCAGGGCACATGCCAGGGTTATGGTCTCGATCCCCAGTGTGAGGCATGCAGGAGGCAGTGGATTAATGACTCCCTCTCATCATTGATGTTTCTATCTCTCTTTCCCTTTCCTTTCTTCTCTCTGAAATCAATAAAAACATTTTTTTTAAAAAAGAAAAGGGAACAAATTTTGTCATTATGTGCCATAGTGCTTTGATATAGTAGTTTCCTGTGTGGCATTGGAGAAGTTTTGAATGAGCATGGTGCTTTTGATCAGTAATGCAGTCAGTTATGATTCACTCTCAGAGAGAAATTGAGACTAGAAAGTCTCATTTCTCTAATTCTAAAATTTATTTTTCCATTTGCGTGGAAAAGTAATAGAAATATGATTATAAGTGATAAGAGCCTCTGTAATTTGCCACCTTTTCCTTGTTTTATGAGATGAACAGTACATGGGACTGTAAGAAAATCCCCAGCAATCACAGCAGCTTTCTTCTCCGCTGATTAGAAGAGAGACATTATTATTTGCAATGCAAATGGAAGACTTGGAGATGAAAATGCTGCACAACAGGAAATAATGATTATTCAGCTCAAATTGCAAAATTACCTTTTTTGTGACATTGTCTTCCTAGGATCGTGTCTATCCTGAACTGCAGCGGTTCATGGCCATGTCCGATGTGCCCTCTCTGTCTGCGGGCAAGGAAGTCCAGTGGGAGAAACTGATCGCTAAAGCAGCATCGATCAGAGACATATGTAAGCAAAGGTGAGCTGCGCTTAGCCCTTGGGAATGTATGATTTATTATTCTGCATTTTTTTATTGCGAGCAAGAATCTTTGAAAGATAGCAGAAAATACATGAGTAAGAATAAATTAATTTTCAATTTAAATTTTCTGATTGTAAAATGTAGTAATATTGGAAAGTAACTTTGAGAAGCAAGCATGTCTTTTCATTTTAGGCCTAGTCTTATATCTAATCTAGCTTTATAGGATATTTATGTCCTTTTATGGATAGCAATTTAGTATTGTAATAAAACATCTGATGCTATGTATTTTATTTTTCTGTACATTAGTCCCTGAGATCTAAGCAGTGGACTGTGGTCCAATGGTTCTTATATTCTCCCTGTGTTATGTTGGTTTTTATAGAGTTTTCATACAGTGGGCCTTATTTGTGGCTCATTGTATGGAATTAATTATTAGGAATTATGACAAGGAAGGAAATGATTTTGAATTTCCATGTATGCCCTAGGGTTTAGGAAGACATGAAGATGTTAGGGAAGTGACAGCGGTGCTAGAGTATGGCTTGGTAAATAGGTGGGGTGGGGGAGGGCGAGACTGCGATAACACCAAGCAAAGCTCTAATTGGCCAGATTTTTTCTTCTTCAATAGAGTAAGGTAAAAGTATTTAGGGAGGAAATAGATTTGGTACCTTTGAAATGAGTTGTAATCCTGCAGTTCCACATGGTTGCCCACTGCACTGTAGAATTCTTGGGAGCGCATCTCATTTTTGTCAGTAGGGACACTCAGCGGTACTTCCTAAAGTTGTGCACTGAATGGGTTGACAGGTGACTTGGATGATTCCTGTTTCAGAGACAATCTTGAATGAGAACATATCTAAGCCCAGCAGGTCTGCCTCTCTTCTAAGCTTCAGCCTTTTGCAAACACAAAGATGATCTCAGTCTAAAAGTTGCACATACGTAACACAAGACCCGAGAGTCTGGATGCTCTTGAGGTTTTGGCATGGACAGAATTTTAGAGATGAGAGCTTATTATCTGACAGTTTAATTTTACATTCTTAAAGCTGCAGCTCGGGAGAGGTTGAATATCAGACCAGGTCAGAGTCTTCTGAGAACTTATTCATTGCTCCCTTCAGTTACTACCTTAAGATGGACCATGTTTTCCAGTTTCAGAAAAGGATTTTCCCTCGTCAGACAGTGAAACAATAGAATCCAGTCAGGCAATTTCAATTGACATTTTGTCAATTAGAGAAAAGTGGTATATCACTGAAGGGTTACAAGGAGTGCAGAAGACGGACCTGAGTTAAAGGCATTCTGGGGACAGCACAATATATGTGGAACTGAGAGGAGAGGAAAGAGAGGAAGAGTGAGTGAATTCAGCACAGTGGTTGGATGGGCTCCCTGTCAGTTATAGTTCTTATTATTCTAATTATTATCATCACCATCGCCATCATTATTGTGATAGGTGCAGCCACTTTAGCCAGTGTCACTACTGTAATAAATTCTCTGATCTCCAATACCTGCTTTTGTAGTCAGTGTCTGACACCAGAGCCACTTGCAGGCAGGTGCAGCTCTCCTTACTGACGATCTCACTGAGGTAAGTCAGTTCTCTGCACCATTATATGCTTGAAATTTTGTCAGTTCAGACAATTGATGACTTGGGAAGAATACTATTTAACAAATGTCTTTTTTTGGGGGGATCATATTTTTATATGAAAAATGAGGCGTAAGTTAGAGCAAAAATGATGATGGTGAAAATCTCTGAAGAAAAATACATGGTGTTATTACTTGAGGGTCGGTCTTTAGTAGGCAGAAGGGTAAAGACGAGCCTTCATGGTTTTTGTCCCTCTGGCTGTAACCTCCCTGGCTGTCGTTTCTTGTAGGCCCTATCAGCACGGCGCAGATATGTTGGCGGCTATTTCCCAGGTGCTAAATGAATGCACGAAGCCTGACCAAGCTACGCCAGCAGCCTTGGTGTTACAAGGCCTCCACGCACTCTGCCAGGCCGAGGTAGGCTTTTAAAAATTGGTTTGTATAATTTTGAAGAAAATAATTTACAAGGAATATTAGTGATAAGAATGTAAGATTAGATTCAAGTAACCAGAAGTTTGACTATTCACCCCCAGAGATTTTTGTTTGAAGGAGGGAAGCAAGACCTTGTCCTTGGCACATTCTTTGTAGAGGGGAGTCTTGAAACATCTGGTTATGTAGACATTCTCTAGAGACTTATTTATTCTCTTATTTGTTTCTGTTAATGTAGAAAGGAAAGTTGTGCTCACAGGAGAACTCTTGAATACATTTGCTGCTTATTTTCGTGATTAGAGAGCCTTACAAGCAGATGAGGTGGGGAAACTGGCGCGGGCTAGTGGCAGTTTCATAACCTGCCACAATTATTGCTGCCTGGAAGACTGGCTAAGGAGCCTTTCTTTCCTTGTGATCAGATTGGGTGGATCGATATTAGAAGTGAGCCTCTAAATCATTTTCTGAACTTTAGACAGCCCCCAAATTACAGCACAGTGGAGAATCTGTTTTGGAGAAATGTGGTAATTACATCAGTGATCATTCACTAACCATACTTTGGTTCTTGCCAGAGTGGGCGTCCTACACAATTTTAGTTTTTTTAGAGAATGAGACTAAGTAGAATTCTTCTAGCTTATGGCAATTATGTTTGATGTGATGGTAATGCGTGTAGTATAATAACACAAGCAGTGACTGTATTGAGTGTTTTTTATGCTCACGTCCCTGTGCTAAGCACTTTTCATTTATGTTCTTCAACAACCCTGCCATATAGGGATTATAACACCATTTTATAGAAGAGGAAAACAGACCTCAGAGGGAGGTTAGATATTTACTCAGGATCTGGTATAAGAATAAACTAATGTCCTTCTGGGTAAACACTTATTTTAGCAGGCAGTAAACACCATTGCTGTGCAGAAACTGATGTGTGTGGAGAGCAGTGTTTTCAGTGCCAGTAGTTTTCAGAGATTTTAGGGTTCGTGGCGGAGGCCTGTTACAGCAGGACACCGCTGTGCATAACCAAGGACTTTTGTGTTTTATCGCTCCAATCAGTTATCTAGAACTGGGAAGCTTCACTAATAATTATGTTATTTTCCTAAAACCTTGTTTTCAAATGAATGTTTAACAGAAGCTTAGGGAGAAGAAAGAATTTTATACACTCACCTCCAAAAGGTTACCATTTGGGAGTATTTCCTTTTTATTATTTTTCCCAAACAGGAATCAACTTCTTTCTGAAATTAACTTTTCCCCCTAAAAAATAGTAATTTGTCTTATTGTGTCTCTAATTCCATTGTGTTCCCCATCCATCTCCTCCTGTTACTTTGAGGCTCTATTGTCTATTGATGCTTATTAACTCAGAAGATATTCTGAGTGTGGTGCTGTTGTTTTCCTCATTCCATTTCTCTAAGATATTCATTGTAGTTAGTACCAGAGGCATGAAAAATGTTCCCTAATGTAGAAAGAATCTTTTTTTTAAGGCAGTAGCATGATTGTAGCATTTATTAACTCTTTTCTTTGGCTAATTTACTTAACCTCCTGAGCCTCTGTTTCTTCAAATCAGGATAAAAGGAGATTATACACAAAAAGACTTAGTATTGTATTTGCCCACAGAGGTGCTCCTTAAATGTTGAACTTGCTCCTGAAAAATTGGTATGCAATCGGATATAATCAGTGCCACTGGGAAGGTTTGAAGTAGTTTGTTTTTTATATTTTTAATCTTTCCTCTAAAACTCATAATGAGAATGACTTAATTTTTTCTCCAAATGGTGTACTATCCCTTCATTGCTGAGGCGCTGGGTACTTGTTTCCATACGTAAAGGAGAGCATTTTGGATCATTGACTATCTAGCCCCAAGTCCATTCCCCCAGTCCTAACCACCTCCCATAATGGTAACTTTGAGGCCACGATTATACTGTATTGCTGTCTGAATCCGTCTGGGCTGCTATGACAGAAATAGCCTAAATTGGGTGGTTTATTAATGACAGACGCTTACTTCTCGCAGCTCTAGAGGCTTGAAGCCCAGATCAAGGCCCTGGCGCACACGGGGTCTGGCGTGGGCCTACTCTGGTTCGTGGAGGGCCGTCGTTCTCACACACGGCTGTCTTTTCGCTGTCACCGCATGCAGCAGAAGGCATAAGATAGCTCTCTGGAGCCTCTTTATAAAAGCACTAATCCCAGTCATGAAAGCTCCACCCTCATGACCTAATCCCCTCCCCAAAACCCACCTCAAAGTACCCCCACCGTGGGCATTCGGGTTTCGCCGTTTGAGCTTGGGGGAACCTCACATTGAGCCTGCAGCAGCTACCTTGCTTCTCACGCTCCATTCGCCCTCTGGAGGGACTGAGGTATCATCCCAGGTATTTTATTTACTAAAGCCTATTTCTTACTCTCATACTTCAGTAATCCTTTTCTTGGCTTGCTTCAGGGCGTTTCTTCTTCTCATGTTTCTCTCCCCCCACTCCTCCTCTCTTTCTTTTTTCCCTTCTTTCTCAGTGTTATGAAACCCAAATTCAGTATGACGTAGTTATCAAAATTCACTTTTGGGAAACTTCAACTGAAATGTTGCAAATGAAGTAAGGATTCAGTATGTTGTCTTTCTAACAGATAGATGCGAGCCCCTTTGAATCTTTTTTGTAATGAGATGCGCGTTAATAGATCATAAAGCAATTCGAGCAGTCAGCCAGCTTCATTTTATTACGGGCTGCCCATTTCCTTGTCTCCTGTTTCCCTCTTGTCGAGAGGATGGACCCACTATTTTGTTGATACTTCCTAAAGATGAAGTGCTATTTGTCATGTTTTCCTGATAGGTATTACAAGTGTCCTGAGCTGTGGAATGTGTTGAAGCTGACTGCATCACTGTTAATTTTGATAATAAAAATATTCTTTTTTAATGTTCAGTAGTGAATAGTTTTATGTTCATATAAAAAAGTAGGGATCATCTATTCTCCCTTGAAGGCCTGGATGGCAATAATACATCTTTCTGATTTAAGCTTTTCCAAGCTTCTTCGGTGCAAGTTCATTTGTTGTGAGACTGCTGCTGTTATGTCCTGTGATGTGTGTTAAAGTTGTAAAATATACTCAGCTCAGTGGCCCTTGCCAGGTCACATTGACTAATTTGGGGCTCATCTTTTGGGTTGCTTTTTTTGCCAGCATGCTATCCACAGAAGCCAGCATGCATTCTGTGAGGCTGTTTATTCTGTCTTCTAATTGATATCATGTGTGAAGCATTCATGGCTGCCAAGAGTTTCAAGAATGAAAATATTCAGCATAGTTATAAGTCTGTTTCCCAGCAGCATTTGGTAGTGATTTGTCTATCCATTGCTCTTTAGATCCATGACTATCAAATATCATTAAGAATAAAGAAAGATAGCCTAAGACAATGAGATTTTAAAAATCAGTTAGGATAAGAGTATAAATAAACTAAATAATCCTGTCTTTCGGAAAATAATTGGTTTTTCCTCAATTGGAAAAACCGTACAAAATTGGATTTCACTGGGCCGTCCCATCCTTGCCTTTGTAGGAGAAGTAGGGCTCTTTTTCTTAGGATTGACAGTGGACTCTTCAGTTCTGAAAGTCCCAATCATGAAATTCATTTGTCCTTGGTAGGGTCAGATTAAGCCTGCAGTTACTGCTGCTTAATCACTTATCATGGTCTCCAGTGAGAGATTGAAAGGATGGATTCTATCTCAGTGCCAACTCTGACAAGGTGAAGATTGTACTTGTAATATGGTTGTCTTTGGTGCTACTTTACTAACCGAAAAATGGAGAGAAAGTTCTAGGAATCTTGGTTGACAGTAAAGACAAGAATGCAGTTTGGCATTTTGGAATTGGAAAAGAGAAACTTACAGTTTTTCTTTCCTAAATACTATTGATGTATTGATTCAGGACTTCACAAATTTCTTTTTAGGCTGAGCTACTTTTAAAAAATATTGCTAATATTTCTTGAGTTTCTCATGATTTTGGACTTTTTGAGGTTTGGGGATTCATTTTAAACTAAAAAAAAAGAGGCTCTGGCAATTTAAGTCACATTTCCAAGGTCACCTGGCTAATAAATGAAAAGAGAAGTAGACACACGACTCCTCCAAGTCTCATGCTCTTGTGTTATTTTGAGGCTTCCTTCCTTTGAAAAATAAGGCTATTGAAATAAGTAGTTTAATCTTCAAGCTGAGGGCTTGTCATTTTCAAAGAAAAGTTAATATTCTTGCATTCTCTTTATTTTTGCCAGTCAGCTTTCTCATCACATTTGCCCCATTGGCCTTAATTTTCTTTTTTTTTTACTTAATACAAACTTATGTCTCTGAGAAGCACTATTCTCTCATTTTAAAAAGTTTTACTGAGATATAATTCACATACTATTTATACCATTCACTTAATGTGTACAACTTAATGGTTTTTAGTATATATACAGAGTTACGAAGCCATCACCACCGTCATTTTTAGAACATTTTTATCACCTCCTCCCCAAATCCTGTACCCTTTAGCTATCACCCCTTCACCCCCAAGTCCCCTCTAGCCATAGGCAACCCCTAATCTACTTCCTGTCTCTGGATTTGCCTAGTCTGGACATTTCATATATTCAATTCCATTTCATATAATATATTGTCTTACGAGACTGGCTTATTTCACTTAACATAACTTTAAGGTTCATCAATGTTGCAGCAGGTATTGATACTTCATTTATTTTCCTGGTTGAATAATATTCTATTTGTTTATCTTACATTTTATTTATTCCTTCATCAGTTGATGGACATTTGTTTTTTTTCTTTCTATTTTTTGGCTATTATGAGTAATGCTGCTATGAACATTTATGTCCAGGTGTTGCTTAGATATGTTTTCATTTTTGAGGGGTGTAATCTAGGAATGGAATTGCTGGATCATGTAATTACTCTGTGTTTAACCACTTAAGGAGCTTCCAGACTCTTTTCCAAAGTGGCTCTGCCATCTCACATTGCCACCAGCAGTGTATGCGGCTTCTAATTCCTCCCCTCCTCAGC